AGAAAATTTTGGTTTCGTCTATACTACTAGGTACTTATACTATATTGACTGGGTTAAATAGAATTGCATTTCTAAAAAGAGACTAAAATACAATTTTCATTGACTAAAACTAGACTAAATGTCATCAGTTTTCGTCTACTAAAACTAGACTAAAATGCTCAGACTTTTAGTTCACTAAAACTTGACTAGACTAAAAAGAGTATGAACGTGACTAAAACTAATAAAAACTAAAATGACAGTTTCACACAAAGACTAGACTAAAACTAAAATTAAAACAGGCTGCCAAAAACAACACTACTAAGGCGAGGGGAGCACTGCCTGAGACAGCATTACACAAGAAGGTTCTCGCAAATGCCACCTATACTTCCCACTCGATGCCTCAGCAAGAGGCATATCCTGGTGACCAGGAAGCCCTTCAGGGCGACCTAGATACGGTGTACCAGACAGGGTAGCCTGAAAGCATAGGCCCAGCCCGGACGTCCATGAAATTTTGCAGTGCCGTGCTGGGGGCCTGATGATCAAGAAGGCTTCCGCAGAAGCCTGTGACCTGGCCACATGATCCAGGAAGCATGAAGCCGAAACGAGGTGTGACGAGTGGGGGCGGGGCCGAGAGCCGTAGGAACGGAGCGAAGCTGGTGAAGTAAAAGTTGTAATGCACGACACCTGCGCCACTCACCGGTCTTATATCTTTAGTATCCCAGTACATTCTTACAACGCAAACGTCCCGAGTATGTAAACGGTTATTTGTTCAATGTCGGGAATTCCCCTGTGTATTAAAGAGTTACGTTTATATACATTACAGCACTGAACATCAGACAAACATGATAAACATGGCACACTCAAAATATATATTACAAATGACAAAGTGCTCATTCTGAAATCTGAATAAAGATTTATGCTTTGTATGCACATATATCTTAATTCGCCTTGTAGAGTTATTCACCGTTTATGTAATTTAGTTACAGTGTTTTTATTTGTACAGTAGGCTAACTATAAATATTTCAGCAATGATTTCATTAACAGCAACTGTTCATTTTGAAGCAGGTAATGATTTAAACGTTGGTTAAATTATTAATTAATTCAACATAACATTTTACTCTTATGGAAACAATGCTAGCAAAACGCCATAGAATTTGTGAGATCTTTAAGAGTCTGAAATAGATGTTCAATCAGGACAATAAAAATATACACATCATAACTTATTTAGAAAAATAACACTGACTACATACGGTACAGACTTAAAGACAAAAAGCTTTATTTCCAAGATGATGCCTGATAAGCTTTGAATTTCAATAAAACATAGAACAATTTAGTAACAGAGTATTATTATTTACTAAATAATTTTACATATTTAGTATTGTATTATTCATTGTATATTTGAATCAGTTTCAGATACTTATACTAGATATATGTTCATGTTTAATATTTCCTGCAAAATTATGTACATAAAGAAATATATTTTGTGTTGGATCAGTTTCCTGTATCATCAGTGCGCAGCTCACCTAAATTATTTCAATATATCGCTTATCCTGCCCAAAGAGCAATCGAGCTCAGGTTCGAACTAGGCAGTTGAACCAAGTGTGAAAGCACCCAGAGTTTGAGAAAAGCACAGAAACACATTATCACTCAGCAGGACTCACACACAGACTGATCTTACTGTCTATATGAGGATTCATTACACACTTTATTCTGACATTGTTATTTCAGTGACAGAAGTTCAGCTGCAGTATTAATGTCATGAAGAGAAAAGAAGAGACTCTATAACATCTCACTGTTATTGATTTATCATGCAGCTTAAAGCATTATGGGTAGAATCTCTCGTCAGTCTATTCTGATTCATCAACACAGTTTCACTGATGATCCTCTATAAACAGTAAACCCAGGATAGAGCGGCTGAGTGAATGTGGTCTGGACTGTGTGGATGAGGCTGTTCAGTGTATCATCAGTGTCTCAGTACAGATGACCAGATATCCTGTGCAAATCATCATTTACATCATCAATTATAAAACTCTTCTTTTTCACTTTATTTTGATGGTCCCTTTAACATATTATGTTAACTATAAGTAATATTGCACCTACAGGTCTACTAACTCTCATTAGAGTGTTAGTAGAGTATTAGTAGACTGGTAGGGTTAGGGTTAGAATAAAAGTTAGCAGATATGAAGCAGAAAGTCTACTAATATTCTAATGAGAGTTAGTTGACATGTAGGTGCAACGTTACTTAGTGTCAACAGAATGTTCAAAAGGGACCATCAAAATAAAGTGTTACCAACTCTTCTTTCACCTTCTACAGGAAGAACATGAACACAC